GCTAGCAGTTTGGAATTCCCACTTTTAGAACTAGACCCGCAACTGGAACTTTAAAAATCCGCCACACTTAAGATACCAGTGCTCTAGTTCACTGCTGTTTAGAGTCCTGTTTGAAGCCCAGAACACCTGGCTGTCATTGTCACATTCCAAAAACACCCCTCTCCACCACCATGCATTGCCTGGGGGGAAAAATCCACTGATCATTTGATATGCTCCCATAGCCCTTTCTATTGCATAGCACTGAGTACATCGTTTTATTTAACTGCCTACTTAAGGTCAGAGACTTGTCTTATTCATAAATCTTTTTCTCCCCCAGATCCTCAGCCTAGCATTATGCCCTATTTCATCAAATCTACAACTCTGTAAGACATATCATGATTCCATGAACTTCAAAGAAAGAAAAATACACTGTGACATGCCCTGGATTTGAAGATGCAGCCACAATTCTGGGAAGTCTCCATGGTTATTAAACAAAATGACCAGAGCATGTGCCCGTGGAATGGTGGACTAGGCTACTAAGTGTTTAGCAAATGTTTACAGAACTCGATTGGGAACCCACGGTGGGGCAGACACTGCTAGACCACTGTGCTCTTAACACTAGCAGTGATTTTAATAGGTCAAACACTTCAGAGTCTGTAGCTGGTGAATGATGAATGGTCTAGGTCCGTTGGTGTGCAATGGGCTGTTTGCTGCTGAAAAACTGAAAGTTCAGCAGGGTCATGGAATCCAGGATAGATAAACTCCTCAGAAACAATCATGGGAGTGGTGATACCATGAGGGTAGGGGGAAGGTGGAGGGAGAAGGGTGAGAAAGGGTGAACGGATAGCAATGATCAATGTATAACACCACCTCGCCCCCGGGAGGGAGAGACAACAGAAACGTGGGCAAGGGACACAGTGGATGGTGTAAGATGAAAACAATAATAAGTTATCATTTACCAAGGGGTCTTGAGGGTGGGAAGGTGGGGGAGGGAGTAAAAAAGAGGAGCTTATACCAAGGGCTCAAGTAGAAACAAAATGTTTTGAAAAGGATGATGGCAACATATGTACAAATGTGCTTGCACACACAACACAATAGATGTATGGATTATAATAAGAGCTGGAAGAGCCCACAATTAAATGATTTAGAAGAAAGAAAGAAAGTTCAGCAGTGTCATAGAAACAAGGCCTATCTTGGCTATCACCTTGTATAGAAGCCATTCACTAGGGCTTTCTTCCACACCTGATTTATTTGCTAAACTAGGGGGTACACTGAGAATATATTGGTAAAAATCGAGGAACACCTAATACAACAGGGGAGCATGATTGCAGAGCCAACAGGACAGAGTATTCATATCTACTTTGAACCCCTTGCTCTTCTCATCAGTCTGTGAAGAGGAACAGCAATTGACCAGTGTCTGCCAGCTTTTTCCAGCCGTTTTATTCTAATGCAATTCTTTCTAAGTGCTACACTGCTTGATCTGTGACTTTGGTTTCCGTTTCTCCCTGGAGTCTTGGGATGACTTGGTGTTTGTATACGGTCCCTGATTGATTTCTGGACTTAGCTTTCTATGGGGACTTTGGTGTGCCAAGCCTTTCTGGTGCCCAGCACCCCAGGCTGTCTCATCAAGAATCTGTTTTCTAAACGGGGATCCAGAACCGCCATATATTTGGTATCTCAATGCACCCCTTGCATGGATCTGACAGGCAAGGATCTGCCCTTGTAAGGAATGTTACAGAAAAATTTCTCCTAGCACCAACCCCCATGCTCAATGTAAGAAGAGTTCAATCATTTAAGAAACCAATCTGTACAAAGCAACAACTCATGGATTACAGACCACAGTTGGACTGTATTTGCAGAAATTCATCTCAACATTACCTTAAACTCTATGCCATTGGATAAATTATTGATGTTATCAATGCAATCACCTTATACCCCAGGAGGAGGATTGACCGTGATTTTCTTTTTGTTTTGTTGTTATTTTTTTGGTCATAAAGTCATGTGACTGCTAAAGTAAACCAAAGTTGTTCAGAACCCATGGACAAGCAGATGCATCCTGGGAAGTTAGTCCTTATAACATGGCCCTGCTCTATACTCTCCTTCATGAAGAGATCCCTGAAGATAAGGGTGCTATAGCCAAGTGTGTTGAAGAAAGCAGATGGTGCCTGGCTATCAAGTGGAACAGAGCCTGGGGTTTTCAAGGCTTGTATTCAAACAAGCAGCCATTTAAGTGACCCATCAACTAAGTCCACATGGAAGAAGCACAGCAGCCTGTGTGATCCAAAGATGACAGTTACAAAATCCAAATATGATGAAGGGAAAAGCATCCGAGCTTAAATTGTGAACTCCCAATTTGTAGAAGGTTCTGGAGGACAGTGAGAACCCCTGATCCATCTGCAGAGTGTCAGGTCAGATTGAGCCTCTGGAAGATCCCCTCTAGCCACAGGTGAGGAACTCAAACAGCTTTACTATCAGGAAGGGATTATTTTAAACTTAATTATGGTGGATTGAAGCATGGTATAATGTAATACTGGTCAGTTGACGTCCCTATTGACCCAACCTGAATTTGCTCTCGGCTTAAATATTTCCCACTTGTTCCATGTTAGCAATTTCTTCTCTGGCTTTTAAAATATTGTTGGTAGTCTTTTCTTTCATAGTCTTTATTTTATCGTTATATTATAATCATTTTCTTCATTGTTTCATTTTGTTCTTGCTCTTTGTTGTTTGTTAGGTCTGCCAGTTTATGAAGCACAGAAGGAGTGGATGCATAGAGACAATAACGCATGCAAATCTTACCATAGTGAATGATGGGGGGAGTGCAGAGTGGAGACCCAAAGCCCATTAGTAGGCCACTGGAAATTCCCTTGCAGAGGGGTCTCGGGGAGGAGATGAGCCAGTCAGGGTGCAATGTAACAACTGTGAAAAATACAACTTTCCTCTAGTTCCTAAATATTTCCTCCCCGCTCCCACTGCCATGACTCGAATTCTACCTTGCAAGTCTGGGTAGACCAGAGGATGTACACTGGTACAAATAGGAACTGGAAATCCAGGGAATCCAGGGCAGATGAGCCCTACAGGACCAGTGGTGTGAGTGGCGAAACAGGGAGGGTAGAGGGAGAGTGGGTAGGAAAGAGGGAACCGATTACAAGGAATTATATGTGACCTCCTCCCTGGGGGACAAACAACTGAAAAGTGGGTAAAGGGAGACGTCGGACAGGGCAAGATATGACAAAATAACAACTTATAAATTATCAAGGGCTCATGAGGGAGGGGGGAGCAGGGAGGGAGGGGAAAAATGAGGACCTAATGCCAGGGGCTTAAGTGGAGAGGAAATGTTTTGAGAATGATGAGGGCAATGAACGTACAAATGCGCTTTACACAATTGATGTGTGTATGGATTGTGATGGGAGTTGTATGAGCCCCTAATAAAGTGATTAAAAAAATAAACAAACCAATAAAAACTAAAAAAAAAGAAAATGGGGTCTGGAAACCAAGTCCCCCCAGTGTATTAGAACCAAATGTATCCAAGGCCCTAGAAATTTTACTGCCTCACCAGGGGACTGTTAGGCTTGCAAATAAAATCACCAGGCAGAAATCTCAGAAGGTTCGAACGGAAGTGCCTCTTGATGCTGAGTTGGATGGATGAGGGAATTCGAGCCAAGAAAGTTTATTAGCTAGGAAATGCCAGAGTTGGTGTTAGAACCCAACTGCCTGGACTCCCATCAGGGGAAAAGACTTTTAAACTCTCTTAAATGTAGCTACAATTACACTTGGTTTGCTGGTCTTCAAAATACCAGTGCTCCGATTACCAATCTTACCGATTGATGCAAACAGATGCAGAAAACCAGTTGGCCCAGCATTTATTTCCCCAAAGGATGGAGGCAGTCTGTTTCTACTTTGTAGAAGTAAACAATCAATTGGCATTGTCTGGGCCCCTTCTAGGGCTGGTTTATCAAGCCAGCTCACAAGCTTCCCCCATGGAGATATACTCGGGCTCAGAAAGCCTATCCATTTCCCCAGCTTGATTTTCTACTCCAGTAAAAATGTACAGCCTCAGAAACCCACAAGGGTCAGTTCCACTCTGTCCTGCAGCTTAGTTCCCTGGCGGGGGAAGTTTGACTTTTGGAAGAACTGTATACACAGCGCCCCTTGCTGGCCAACACGAGTCAATGCAGAAGTCACTGCGGACAAAAGCTGGGGTTTCCTCACAAAGGTCACAGCAGTGTCTCAGTCTAGTCCCTGGGAAGGGTGGCCAGGTCAAAGGAGAAATCATGGGGGAAACAGCAGGGAGAAGAAACCTTGGCAGTTTGCCCTAAGCTATTTATATGTGCCAAATTTGAGTGAAAGCCCTCACAAAAGCAGATGTCTTTTGGTATCCCATGGAGCTTGTCACCAGGCAGTGATAAGACCCACTCAAGAGGCATGTCATGCTTAGACATATTTTGTTTTTAACATCAGTGGGCACACAGATCGAAGGATATGCACGTGCCAGGACAGCATACTTCAAAGAGCACAAAATCGCTGGGGATTTAGTTCAGAAATGATTTGATGGATTGCTACATGTTTTTGGGTGAAATATATAGACTTTTAAATTTCCACTCTCTCCAACCCCCACCCCCAGCTTCATTTCCATTTGGACGCTGGCAAGAGCTTCATCAGGAAAACAAAACAAAACCCTAAGCAGCAAAAAGCAAGCAAAGGGAAACGAGAGAACGAGTGAAGTCAACAGCTTTAAAGTTCACGGTTTTACCAATAGGTCTCATGCCACTCTGTGACACACCTTAAAAACTCAAATGAAACTCACTCGCATCGAAACTCACAGCCCTGCAGGACAGAATGGAACTGCCCCCTTGGGTTTCCAAGACTTTCGATCTTAATGGGAGCAGAAAGTCTCTCCTTTCTTCTACAGAAATGGCTGGTGGTTTTGAACCACTGACTGTGGTTAGTAGCCCAATGCATACTCCACTATGCCACCCAGGCTCCTTCCAGGAGTATCCTAAAGAAAGTACAACCCACACAGCTTTTGCTCCAGGACTGGCCTAATGGAAGGCTTTATTTATTTCAATTTTTATTTTGTAGGGTTTGAAGAAGTATTCCCTGAATTTGGGCCAAGGGCACTGGTTGGCCTTTCTGAGGTAAAGTGTGTTCGCAGCAGTTCCAGGGCCCAATTGTTCCTTGCTTGCAGGGTCTTCTCGATTTTCAGTTCGCTCTTGATGGCGTTCAACTCCCCTCGGACCTTTTCTATTTCGAATTCGTAGAATAACTTCAGTTCCTCTTGTAGGAGGGCGCTGCCTGCCTCGGTACGCTGCTTTAGGTTCTTCACCATTTCTTTTAAATTGTGGTTCTCCTGGTGCAGCTTGTGGATGACATCTTGGGCTTGCCGGAGCTCTTTAGTTAAGCTTTTGACAGTAGTTGCTTTTCTGAACAGGTCATTTCTCAAAGCCTGGAGCTCAAAGTCTTTCTTTGAAGTTGCCGCCCTCGTGTCTAGAAAATTCAGGTGTTTCTTGGGGCCTTCCTGTTCAGCATTCAAAAGCTCTCTTTCGGCATTTTCGAATTCTTCTTCGATTTTCTTGTATTTCTTGTCCAGTTCTTCCAGTTCTGCCTTTAAAAGGGTCGGGCGAACCTTGAGAGATGTTTTGCCCACTGGCTTCTGCCTCGGGTCGCCCCTTCGATGATGGCATCTTCCACTTGGTGATTCCTTGGTAGAAGGAGCACGGCTATCGGTGGTCTGACAACGGTCTTGAGTGCAGACAGCCAAGAGACATATCTCACAGGAGGCAGAACTTGCGGCTCTTGTGCCCTTTGGAATATTTATCTTTCTCTCTCTTAACTTCGGCTCTCATTCTTTTTCATAGAGGTGGGGGAAAGAGACTTTTTTCTTCCCTTTATTCTCCTGACAAAACTTCTGACTGGACAAGTGATAAGTCTCTCCCATTTTCTTGGTTTTGTCTACAATTGCTGGTGTTGCAGATGCTGGCTGAGACGCCTGAGCTGGGCAATCCAGTGCAGCGTAAGAAGACGTCTGCTCTGTCTCCTTGTGGTTTTTGACAGCATCCATTTCTCCTGGAACTGCTTCCGTTGCCTGAAAAACAAAAAAAAAAAGGAAATCAAAGGCACGTTATTTCCACCAGCAGGAGGTATCATAGTCAGAACTAGAGAGCCTTTTGTCCCTCCCCTGGGGTGGAGCAACCTCAGCTCATGGGAATCCCAGCCTCTGAAGGGCACTGCTGGGCCTCAGTTTCCTCACTGAGAAATGCAAAGGGTTGAACTAGCTGCCCTCTATAGACCCTTCTGCCTTTAACCATCTCTGATCCGATGAAACCCACCTGGGAAATTGCACTGTTGGGTTATTTGTAGGAGACAGAAAAAAAATCTGAGAAAGCAGCTAGATATACATGAAACAAGATTGTTCTACAATAATCCAAATGCTCTCGAATGAATAGGCTAAGATGTTAATACCTGGGCTTCCAAAGTGTCCGATTGCACCCCCATGCCTGAGTTCTTTCAGTGGGCCTACTGTTCATGCATTCCTTCAAGTGACTGCAACATCAGGGCTTAATGCAATGCGAGCTGCTTTCAGTAAAGTATCCTAGGCAGCCTTCCTATGAGGAACGCTGCCACATGCCCTTCTGCCTTGACCTGTGCATTCCTGCTCATCCAGTCTTGGGCTGTGCTTTGAGGCAAGACTGCCAAGGATACGGAACCCTGTCTCTTTGGACAGCAGTTTTATGATGGGAACCCAATGTCAACAATCGAGACTTTCCTCGAGACCTGGATTCCAAGTGTTGTTTTGAGGCCCAAACTTGGCCACCATAAATCACTGTGCAGCCAAATTCATAAGCATTTAGGGAGAATTATTTTGTTGCCAAGGGACTTTTTCAAAGTCCCTTCTTCAAAGCAAAACTTCACTGCAGCTCTCCTAAACTGCAGACATACTGTTTTCTAGATCATTCTAAAGCTTTCTAAAACGGATATACACCCAACTCACTGCCACTGACCCAATACTGGCTCATGGCAACCCTATAGGATAGAGTAGAACTGCGCCTGTGAGTTTCTGAGCCTATGACTGTTTACGGGAGTAAAAAGCCCTGTTTTTTTTTTCTCCTGAGGAGTGGCTGGTGGTTTCAAATTGTGGCCCTTGCATATCGCAGCCCAATGTGTAACCACTATGCAACTCCCGGAGCACTAACTACTGAGAAAAGGGAGAACGAGAGTCCCCAGCAATAAGCTGAAGGACCACACCTTCCGGAAGCCACAAAATGGTAACTGCTGTTACCACTCGAGTGTGTGTGTGTGTCATTTTATTCATGGAATACAATGCAAGCGTTATCAATTTTTGCCAACCATGCCATCCCCTCATATATTATCTTCTTAGCTGTGCTGTGTGCACTATATGGGTGGGTGCATTAGTTGTGAAAACGACACACTCATTGACTGTAACGTTTATTACTAAGAAAAATCAAAGCACACCTGTGCTGATTTCCCCCATGCACACAAGTACCATTTTCTCCGGGTGATGACAAAGGGCAATGGTTGGGTTTCTACTTCAATGACATTTTCTTTCTGGTTAGAAAGGGGGGAGCGGGGATGTTATTTGGACACATTTGGGAAAAGATGTAAAAGCCCCGAGAACAAAAGGAACACTGATCATCTCGTGCACCATTCTCTCTCTAGTCTGGTTTGGTTTGTCTCTTTCTCTTTTCCAACATTCATTTGACTCACACAAGCCTTCCTTGCCATAGGTCATCAGCGAAAAGAACTTGATGCCTACAAGTACTGAACGTACTTAAGGTCCCTCCTCCTCTGTTTCTCCCCAAGGCTACAACCCCATTGGCAACTACTTGGCTTTGAAGCAAAGCACAGGTACAATTATTCTTAAACAGATTGGGGGTGGAGGTTCAGTGAAGGTGGTATAATGATTGGCCCAAAGGCCATGATCCAGTTTTAATGAAGTTTAGCCAGTCAGACCACAGAGGACGATTCAGACTTGAAACTCAAGGTGCACATTTCTCGTTGGTGCATCCTCTCTTTTCTCGGCCTGACTTTGTCACCCCTAGAAACAGCTGCTATCGCTGTTCTTAAAGGAGCGGGGATCCCAAATCCTGCTCTCCCACCTTCCTAATGAAGGAAAAAGATTCCCGCCACCATGCAGAGAAGGGGTGGGGACAAGAGAGGATGCTGCCACTTTATCAGTCACATTTTCAGTAGTCAAAAAAAAATGTTTTTAACCAGACAATCCTGAAAAAGATAAAAATGCTTCTAATCAGGCTGCAATAGAAGAGTCCTAATTCTGATCAAAAGGTGTTGTTGGTGGGATGTATCTGAAAGGAGGTGAGCAGATGGGCAAGTGAGGTGAAGTCCCTTGATACCTGGAGGTAAAAGGAATGATAAACTTGAGCTAGGCGCCCTGATGGACTAATGGTTATAGAATGGCTGCTCACCACAAAGTCAGCAGTTCAAAACCACCAGCCACCAGCTGCTCTTCTCAGATTTTATCACCTTTCTCCTCTGAGGCTCCACACAATTCCCCAGGTCACTGGAAGGAGATGCTTTTCAAGGAAGCCTAGATAGCAATACTCGGCGCTATCAACTCCATTCTGACTCACAGCGACCTGCTGGGGCGGAGTACAACTGCCCTTTGGGTTTCGCAGACATTCAGTCTTAATGAAGCAGACAGCCTCATCTTTCTCCCCTATAGCAACTGGTGAGTTCCAACTGCTGCCCTTGTGGTTAGCTCAGTACATAGCCCACTAAGCCAGCAGGACTCCTAAGGAGTCAGAGCTTTCCAAATTACTATTTTATAACGGATGCTTCGAAGAAGTGAGGAGACTTGACCAAGGTCACACAGAGGGAGAACGGTGCATGTTCTCAAATCCTTTTTTTTTTCTTCAGCTAGGTTTCAGTTCATGAGTTAAAAGAAAGAGACCCCATGATCTTCAGAGTTTAGGTATTGTTTTCAAGGGTCACAAAAGGATAAAAGGAAGAATGAAGGGGGGGAACTGCATGTCACTTATCAAAGGACAGAGAGAGGAGAAAGGCTGGCAAGACCTTTTGGAATTGCCCTCCCATGGCTTACACAAGGCAGGGTCGTTGGGTCTCAGAGCTGCTCCTTTTCTTTCTTCTTCATCAACATCTTCTCTTTTTTTGTAGATATGTGAAGAAGCTCTTTCATTGGCGAGCTAGGATCTAAGGCAGCGGTTCTCAACCTTCCTAATGTCGCGACCCTTTAATACAGTTCTTCATGCTGTGGTGACCCCCAACCATCAAATTATTTTCGTTGCTACTTCTTGACTGTCATTTTGCTACTGTTATGAATCGGGCGACGCCTGTGAAAGGGGCCATGACCCACAGGTTGAGAACCGTTGCTTTAAGGCAGGGGTCCTCAAACTGCGGCCCATCAAGGACATCTATCCGGCCTGCTGGGTGTTTTTGCCCGTTTTGTTTTTTTACTTCAGAATAAGATATGTGTGGCGGGGTCAGTGCACTCAGAGCTGTCGGAGTGTGAGAGCGGGACGGAACCTGGTGGCGCTATGTCTTTCTGCAGCTTCTCCGGGGGCCAGGTTTTCCAGAATCACCTTGAACCCGCTGTCTACGTGTGTGCCAAGTGGGGGCAAAGTTTTCCAGAATCACTTTGAACTCGCTGTCCACGTGTGCGCCAAGTGAGGCTACGAGCTGTTCTCTGGCCGCTCCAAGTACGAGCACTCGTCGCCGTGGCCAGCCTTCACAGAGACCATCCACGATGACAGCGTGGCCAAGCCGCCCGAGCGCAATCAGCCTGATGCCTTTAAGGTGTCCTGCGGTAAATGCGGCCACGGGCTTGGCCACGAGTTCCTCAATGATGGCCCCAAGCGGGGGAAGTCCCGCTTCTGAATATCTAGCAGCTCCCTGAAGTTCATCCTTAAAGGCAACAAATCTGCCTCCCAGGGAAAGTAAGCAGGCAGCCCAACCCCAAGCAGCCACGGGCATTGGTCACCCCCCTTTAGAACTACAGCCTACTGACCTTCAGGCAGGGAGGGCTGCATAGGGGGGGGGGGGGTTCCCGAACAACCCAACCCCAGCGCCAGGATGGGGCCGAGGGCTGGTTCATCTTGGCCTCCGAGGCTCGAGGCTGGGACTCTGGTCTTAGGGTGTCTGTGTCTTGAAAGACATAACACCCTTGGCTTCTCTCCTCAGCCTGGCAGCCCCTCCCTGCCTGTCTGGTCTCACCCCTATGAGCCCCGATTCCCAAAGGGGCTCCAGCCCTCACCAGGGCCATGCTGACCCCCTAAGTTGTGTGAGCAGATGCAACCACTACAAGGCCATGTCCCAGTCAGCGGCTGCAGCCCGTTCACTGCATGAATGGCTCTGGTCAAATCGTTCCAGACTCACCAGGGCACTGACGGTCTGACCTACTGGGGCATGCAGGCCCATGGCACAACCCCTGAGTCCCAGGTCTCCATCTGTGTGGGCGAGCAGCCACTGATCCATGGTCTTCCTACCAGTCCCGGTGGGGCCTGGGAGGTCTTGTTCCACAGTCTGTACCTGCCAAGCCTGCCCCAGGGGAGTACGTCCAGAGCTCCTGGTGGCAGCCTCACCCTCTCCCACCTCACCCTCTCCAACTCTCTGAACTGATCGGCTGGAAACTAATAAAGCAAGGAGACCCAGCAAGCCACCGTGTCCATGACTGGGTCTGTCTCCACCCTTAAAAAAATGTGCAGTGTGCATAGGAATTTGTTCACAGTTGTTTTTAAAACTATAGGCCAGCCCTCCGACGGTCTGAGGGCCAGTGAACTGGCCCGGTTTAAAAAGTTTGAGGACCCCTGCTCTAAGGGCTTGTTCCCAAATCTCCTCACAGAATATGGCTGAGCTCAGACTGGTGGGAAAACGCTGCCAGTCTCGTTTCCCCTTCACAAATGACAACACTTGTTTTTTTGGGGGGGTGAGGGGAGGGGTGCAGAATAAGTGTGGCACTCATGAACTACGGGAAAACCCCAAACTCAAACTTGCTGCGATGGAGTCCATGCTGACTCACAGTGACCCTAGAGGGACAGGGTAGAACTGCCCCTGTGGGTTTCCAAAACTTTAACTCTTTAAGGGAGTAGA